ATAGATAAAAGTCCTTGTGTAAATATCTCTGTATGATTATACAAAAGTAGGAAAGTATGTATCTTTATGATATATCCTCAAAAATCTAATTATTGAGTCAAAGCATTTTTATTTTAATTTTGATGGATAATACAGAGAGTGCTTATCTTTTTTATTGCCTACCCATTGTAACTCCCCCTTGTTTTGAAATCAAATTAAGACTTAACTTTGGAGAACTGTTCCTTTTTCTCTCCCATTCCACTTGGATTTTAAGGAAATGAGCCCACCCTTCCACTCCAGGTAAATAGGCGTGGCAGAATGAGCAAATAAAAACACAGGATGTTCTATTAAATTTGAACTTTAAAACTTATCATACACATATTCTTCAGACATAGATTTAGATACATTTGTTTGAGTGTGTGAGATAGAAGATTTTATGGTTAATCAGATTAAACTTTCTTGAGAGAAAATCAATAAATTGTCTACTTCTTAACATATCTAAATAAGCAGGTCTAAATGTAAAATAATAACGAAAAATTTTTAAAAGATCATTTGGGGCAAATTTCTCATACTTTGTGCATCGTAAGAAGACTTCCAAAGGGTTTTTTTGTTACCATTTTTTAAAGAAATCAAAAGTATATATAATTATGCAACAGTTTACATTTTCTTCCATAACTCTATGCCATATACCCCATGGATAGGTTACACACTAATATAAATCCAGGTGCTTCCATAAATTCTGTGTATGCATGTTTATATATTCATTTGTGTCTTTGTGCACTCTTCCCATTGAATATGTATTAAAGGTACAGACTCCTGAAAAACTGAGTCCCTGCCTTTATGTTTTTAGTATTTATGAATAGTTCTGGAATAGAGCATGAGATTAATACAGTTTGTTGAGTTAAGCAAAATGGAAGCACTAAATTTATAAAATGATCTTTGAGAATAGGTTCAAAAGGCAAGAATTAGGAACCTTTCAAATCTTATGCTTCTCATATATATGTGATTTATTACTCATTTTAAGAATATTTGTTCATGTTTAAAATGTGGTAATATAGATATGCTAAACATCTATAATTTCTACTATTATAGAATAAAGTGAAAAATTAATACAATGGCAATCATTGTAGGTTGCAGCTCAATAAAAAGAAAATGATAAGCAAAAGTAAGTTGACACTGAGGCCACTGGTTGCAACAATATTTGTTTGAGTGCAATATTAACTAATGGATAGGAAAGCATGTCTTTTATGGAAAGCTTTATCTATATAGTAAAATGTGTAGAAATTATACAAGATACAGATTTTTAAGGAACAAGAAATTCTACCAAATATGGGTGTAGTACCTAACCAATTAATTTTAATTTTTCCTATCATCTGTGTCCAGGCCTCTTTCTGTAAATAAGCTGAGTGTCAAAATGTAAAACATGGCTGCACTCATAGTACATACATGTAAATCCATTCACCATGAATGTAGCACGTCTTAGAATACTGTATCATTACTTACCATTAAACATCAACTAATAATTATAAGATAGTATAACTAAATGATAGCATTCTTGTCTAATTTTGTGCCGATGGAAGCATTTGTAAAGGAAAAAACTAAACACCTGACTCTAGGGAAATAGTTTGTGTTACTCAAAGCTACTAGAACCGTCCATATGGGTTTCAGTTTATTATTTTTACTCAAGTTTCAGGTTGATAATGATAAATACAAACCTAGGTTTTATGCTGAAGGATTGTGAAATGTATAGCAAAGTGCAGCATTGTGAACACAAGTTCAATTGCTCAAGCACAATGTCTTATCCCAGGCATTTAACACAGAATAAAAGTTTCCAACTACTAACATATCTGTGATATTTTTATTATTATATGTTTAAAAGATATTCATTCCAAGGAATAATTACAATACCTTGATGTGTTTATTCCTTATGATACCTATTGAAGTTTAAATTTTGGTTTAAAAATGAAGACTATTAAGGATGACAATATTTGAAGATACTCCAAACAAATATTTTAATAATGTGATGACTAACTAAACTTCAATGTGCCATTGAAGTTAAATGTTTTCAGTATCTCTGTAAGAAGCACAAGCTATAATAGTGAATTCATCTTTCTAGCATATTATATTTCTACTGGCCAGTATCAACATATTGTTTCCATTCATTAGCAAGGCCAAAAGAAAGATTCATATTTTTAATAGGGTTACCATAGAAACAAGTTTGGGGCTCATATAGTTAGGGATAATATCAAAATCAAAGTCCTCTGTAGTTTCTTTTTTTTTAAGAGACTCAGAATTCTTAGGAGAGTCATTCAAAGGGAATAACATTAATAATGGGTCTGTGATATTAAAATAATACCACAAAATAAGAAACCAAAGCCTCAAATAGTTAAAAAGCAGTATGTCTAGTAGAATTATCACAATATAATTAAAAACTTTCCAAAGATTATTTTCAGTTTAAATAGTCCTTACATTTAGAAAAGCATGAACTATACTTGCTATTGCAAAACTGTAAAAATGCTAACACCTTATAAATAATTTTCATTGACTTTTATAGATAAACTGCCATTCTATTAATTGTGGATAATTATGGGTATTCTTTGGGCCTTATAAGAAGTGACTTCTTAGTATTTCAGAGAGAGAGAAATATATTCACATAAACAGAAAGTACAAGGCCCTTTTAGTTTAGGGAATATTACAGTTAATCTAAGAGTTCAAACTGAATAAGGAGAGGATGAGACAAAAAAAGGACAGGCTGTCTGTAAATAAGATTATTACAATAAGCTCAACTAGCCTGTTTAGAAATCTCTGGGGCACAAAAGACCAAAATGAGAAATAATCTTTAAATAACATAAAAATTATTACTTAAAAACATCTCTAGTTTATGAGTGTGGTTAAAAATCTTAGAGGCTTATAAAACCAAAATCAGAAATAATCTTTCAATAATATAAAATTATTATCTAATAATAGATCTCTGGTTGTCAACAAAGTCAATGTCATCTTTACTTTTGACATTAACATAAATGGTTTCTAAGACATTTAGGACTTTTCATGTAAAGAAATTCAGTAAAATTAAATTTGAGGAAAGTTTTCAAAATATTTAACCCTATATTGTAGTATAATTGCAAACATTCATAGATGAATTTTGAAATTTTGAAAAGAAAGTCACTGTAGTAAGTGAATATCCAGAGGATGTAGTAATATTTACAAACATAGATTACTACTGATGCAATGATACTAAAGATTTTGTCTTATAAATAAAAAATAAATTCACTCTAACACTTCAAAAATTAAAGTAATATCAGGTTGCCACAACATCTGATTAACATGTACAAACAGCATTACTACAAATTTGGTATTTTGAGAAGCATGAAAGTTTAATAAATAGATGACTATTCATCTTAGTTTTTCAAATATTAAATACTTGTGTTGTTTCTAAACTTAGCTAATAAAGCTAAACATTTCTAGACCTCTAACTCTAGATTTCCAACTAATTCCCAGACTGGGAATTATTTATCTAGCACAAACCTTTCTTTTTAGAGATAAGAAAGTTCAAATAGCCACATACTCATACTCAGACGCTAGTTAATGACAAAGAAATACATTTATCTTTTTACAACACCATATTTATAGAGCTGAATTTTACAAATTTAGAGATCAGATATTTAAACAGTGCTTGTCAGGATGCAGCAGGAACAGAGGTTCCCCAGTGATCCTGACTTCTCTACTGGCTAGAGGCATAAATTGTCCATTGCTCTACTCCACAGATAGCTTTCCTACTGCCTGCCTACAGTTACTTGTTCTCCTTCCTAAGACTATCATGTTACTCTAATAGATTATCTAGCATGTCCAGAAGGTCTCTAACCTCCACACAGAAGTCACTTCCTGTCAAACATATATATATATATATATATTTTTAATAAACTCCCTTTCAATTGGATTAATTTTATTATAGAGCCAATCAATATTGCTCTGACTATATACAGAATCATATATTTAGAGATGATTAAGACGAATTATTTATTTAGTGGGGAGAGGACCTCAAGCTTAAAAATATAAGTAAACACTGAATTTTGATGGGTATTTGAAAAATACCTATCTTATTTGAAAACTAGGATAACTAATTCTACAGCTTATAATACTCTAGATTGTTTTTAAATACTTTAATTATCTTCTTGCCTGTGGAAAACTATACACAGAGAAATATACTGGGAAATGAATGGCAAATAATATATTAATTATATGAAATTAGAATGCTAATGTTAATACTAATAGAGCATAATAATAGAGCACTCACAAAAGCAAACACTTGCTTTCTCATAAGGTGAGGTATAGAACAATAATATATTAGACATTTTGGCCCTCAGATTATTATGTTTCTCTGTGCCTTTCAATTATCTAATATCTATAAAATACAGAAACTATGCCTATCAAATATATTTATACCATCAACTGTTATTTTGTAAGAGTATTGCTGTTTTTATGAATTTTAGAATTAGAAGGAATATTATGATTAATTCTGGTACAGAGATACATCAAATGGATATGCTCTTAAACCATAATTGTTGAATTATCAGTTGATGACAAAATGGAGAAGATTTTGATTACTCCTCCACAAAAAAGAATGCCATAATAAAATTCCAGGAAACAAAAATTTTTTTCTAAAGCCCAAAGTAAATATTTATCACTTGGAATTTTCTTTTAAATTCCAAAAGAAACTGATGAAAAATAAATTGTGTCCTTATAGCACAGATAAATTCCTAAACTAAAGGTATCACAAATTATTTAATAGAATTAATATTTGTATTCACTATAAATCCTAATACTTTAAAAAAACTGCAACTAACCAATTCTACAGATACTGAATTAAAATGGCAGTGGCAGTCTTTTCTGAAATTTGAAAAATACTAAATTGTTCAACATTGATAAGTAAAATGGGCTTGAAAATCTATGGAAAGGAGCATGTCAATTAGGTGATGTAGACCCACATGTCTGCTCAAGCCTTTAGGTAATATGAGTGATACCTCTCTCCGGCGAGAAGCCCAACAAGTCTGCTTGATCTTCCACACCACAGCAGCCACCAGCAACAAGGATAAAAAACAACTGGAAAACAATAAAGCATGATCATTTTATTTAAAACACATCTGAAATACCTAATAAATAAAATAACATATGGAAGATTAAAACATATATAAGCAATCAATTTGTCTTGGTAAATAATTCAAGCAAAAAAAATTCTTAATAATCTAGTCATTTAATGTCTGTAGTATGGTTTCTGGTTTGTATACCAATAAAATGCTTAAACAACAGTCAACATTTTAGAGGGCACTTTTCTCAGAAATTTTTCCATTGAAGAACCAGAACTTTCTAAAACTTAAATAAACTAGTTTTTTATCTATCAATGGACTCATTTCTGATTTAAAAATAGCAACCATTCATCCCTGAAACACTTGTGAATATTTTGGTGGGTGGGGTTCCTTCATTCTCCCTGACCCAACATAGGATCAACAAAGGTGGGTGACATTCCACATCCCTTCTTTTAAATTATGGGTCTCCCAAAATTCATGTCACCACACTGTGCTTATTCTTGCTCTCAAAGAGAAAGCTGTTATTCCCACACTTTCAGCTGTGACCTCAGTTGGAAAGATTTCCAAATCTGTATCTTTAAGCCTGCCAAAAATGATAGTATTTTATCACTTAAAAGGATCTAAGAGGTTATATAGTTCAAGTTCTCTCCCAGGAAAGAAATCCCCAGTACAATTCTGGCAGTGATCAGCTGAGAGAATGCTGAATGACGTCACTGCATTCCATTGTCAGTCAGGTCAAACTACAAAAATACGCTAACTTATAGTGTGACACTGCTTCTGTTTTCTGGGTGAAACTGAATCAGTCTGCCATATGCTAAAAATTTCTTTATATATTTGAAGAAACCTACATGATTCCCTTTGGTCCAAACAGGAGTGTTTTCACCCTCTATCAGACATTTGACAGTATTCTGGAGACATTTTTGGTTGTCACCATTCAGAGGGCATCTACAAATACAAGTCAACTTCTCCCCAAAACAAAAATTTCACCATTCCAACCTGACAATAGTGCCCAGTTTGAGAAACCCTGTTCTAGTCTTTTCATTATCATAGTGGTTAGAGTTCTGTTATTCCCAGGTTAACAATGTAAATGTTAAAATATGTCACTGAGAATTGATACTTTAAATATATTTTGAGGATCCATTATTACTGATTTTCTCTCAGAATTTTAGCTTAAGAGATAGACACTTGTCATGTCAAAACTTAACCCATTCATAATGAAATCAACTGACATCTATCGAATAACATGGACTAAGCACTATGCTAAGTGTTTTACATGACTTATTTCTTTAATTAATATAACCTCACAGTATACCACATTTACTGTTTGTTATATGTTCATTTAAAAGAAGAAAAGGTTGAGTTATGGAGAGTTCAAGCAAGATTCTCATACTTCTAAAATACTAAGTTGCAAGTTTTATTTCCCCTTGACATTTTTGCTTCAATAGTACTTTAGAGGTAAAATGTAAAGACATTCAATTTCACTAGCCTTTCTACTCATTCAGACAACAAATCTTGTCAATTGTTTCTTTCCCAATGATTTTAGTAGTCGATAAATTTATATATAGAAATTCATTTATATATCATAATTAACTATAATTTAAACACCAAAATATGTTTTTATTTGTTAATCTGATAAATCAAAGTATTTCTTCAAAAACAGTTACATGTTAAAGATTCAGTTGAAATGGTAAAGACAGCTTCTCTGAAAAAAGCTTAAATTCTTTCTGATATACATCCCGTGACTCAGGTCTGAATTCAGCACAGCATAAAAATATGAAGTTTTTATATGTTTTACTTTTTGAGAGGAGGAGCTACATATACAGGAGCTTATATGCTAATTCCTGTTAGATTAGCAATAAAAGTAAGAGAGCTCTTGATAATGGGACTGTGGGTGTAGGTCAAAGTGTAGAGCACCTGCCTAACAAGCATAAGGCCCTATAATGCCCACCCTGAGAGAGAGAGATCACAATGATGTAAACAGGTTAAACAGTTTAATAAAAATATTTTTCAATCTAATGTTTTTCTCTAGTACATATCAATAACAAAGTGAAATATATCTCAGAACCAAGCCCAGAGTAATTGTTAATAAACTTTTGCTAAATGAATAGCATTGGCTCTTAATTTGATTTGGGTATTATTTTTCTGACACTGAATTTCTTATTTGGCATCATCATCCTTCTGTCAAAGTAATACTTTATAAATGTTCTTGATTTTTAAGAAATTACATGGCAAAAAACAGTTATAGGTTGTTTTTATAAATCAACATAGAACCAAAAAACAGTTTATTAAGAACACTCATTTCATTAAAAGGAAAAGCAGGAAAGCAAATAAAATCAGATAAAAGTTGTGAAACGTAGGCAGCACCATTGAGAGGTTACATTCATCCTTTCATGAATCCTAGAAGACCCTGGTATTTTTCAACGTGCCTAGAAGCCTAAAAAATAACAGAATTTCTACCACCTGAATTTCTTTAATGACCATTTTGACAAGAGCTCTTACATACTCCTTTCTGCTCACTGGTCTTTACATAAGGGAGAAGCAAACTTTTTGTATATCAAATAGCTGAAATTTCTGGGTTTAGCTTTTAGCTGATTTTACCTAAAATAAATCTTAAATCAAAGGTCTTAATGGGTAATATCAAATATCTTGATCTTTTAATTTAGATTTGTGATGAAATTGTCAGATAAAAATGAGTCTTCACTACTTTCTTTTAGGTCTTCTATTATACTATATAACAGCGCTATTGCTCTTTGGTATAGATACTGTAAAGAACAGATAACTTGGCTTTCTTCTACAAAGAAAGAGAGAGAGGAAGGAAGGAAGGGAGGGATGGAGAAAGGGAAGGAGGGAGGGAGGGAAGGGCAGAGAGAGAGAGAAGAGAGAGAGAAAGAAAGGAAGGAAGGAAGGAAGGAAGGAAGGAAGGAAGGAAGGAAGGAAGGAAGGAAGGAAGGAAGGAAGGAAGGAAGGAAGGAAGAGAAAGAAAAAGAAAAAAATGCTAGCAGAGAATAGTGAGGGATATTTTAAAGTTTCAACACCCATCAGTATAATCCTCCCAATGGAAACAGGGAAAACAGAAAGGAAAGACTACTAAAAGAAAGTGCATAAGCTAATAAGTCACAAGGATAAAAGGGGAAGTACAGGAATTTAGGAAGAGAGATTTCAATAATTTGATATTGGCCTTCATAAAATGTTTATTTAAAAAAGATTCTTAATGAAAAACAAAAGGAAACATGGAACTCATTAGGTAAAATCACTTAGGGAAAATTTTAAAGAATTCAAAAGCAACATAGAGTGATACAGGGAGTAGTTTATAGTGACAAAAAAAAAATGTGGTGCAATCTACTTGGCCAAATATGAAAAAAAAAAATAAAGAGAGATAATATTGCCATGATTTTATAGTAATTTAAGGTTAATTGATCATAAGAATCAAACTTTAAATACATATTTTAAAATGTAGTTTGGGTACAATATTCATTTATTTCACTTTAAGTAAAACATAAGAATTATATTAAAATGAAGAAATATATTTTGAAAAATTATTATTATTTATTAATAAGATATTCTGGAAAATATCTTTCAAAGATTGCATACCTTCATAATTCTTGAAGGATTTTTTCTTACCAACTAAAATGTTAACAAAATAAACTACTAACTTAAAATGCAGTAAAAGCCATGTTTATCAAAAAGAAAAATTTGCTTATGTTTCATTGATCAAATTGATGGACATGAAAAATTAGTAAAGGCCAGTGGGCGAAAGTAGGAAAGTAAGTATGTCCATAGCTAAACTGGCATAGAATGAGGAGTTGTTAAGCAACAGTTACTATAGGTTGAGAATATCTAATCTGAAAATTCACAATCTGAAATGTTCCAAAACTTAAAACACTTTGAGTGCTGATGTGATGTCACACGTGGAAAATTAGCCCACATGTTCTACCAGGAGCAATGGGACCATGGGCCAGTTGGGGGTTTGTGGTATTTGATCAAGGGAAATGGAATGTAAGACTAGATAAACAAAAATTCATTGATTTTAGTGCATATTTTCAGGAGACAGGAGATATAATGCCCTACAGAGGACTCCAGGAGATGGCAAAAACTTGTTGGAGTGACTACCAGAAAACTAGAAAAAGCAATCACCAATACAACCTGAAATTGAAATGCCTGAGTTGCCCTGACAAATAGAAGAGAAAGGAATAAAATGGCCAAGAGATAGCATTCCATATATTGGTATAGATATATGATGTAAGACCTGAAGAACTACCAGATAATTGTGCTCCACAGGAGAGCCCAAAAGCCACACCATTCACCAAGGCCATTAGGAATATGTTGATGAAAGAAGCACTAGCACCATAAAGAAGATTACTGTTCACTTCCTACTGTAGTCCAGGGCTGAAAGAGGAAAGGCAGTCATAAGTCTCAGTTTGTTAATTAACATGAATTGATGGATACCTGAAGTGATAAGAGGTCAGGAGGCAGTGTCTACCTGCCAGAATCCAGGATCCATGATTACCACAATTAGGTTAACAAGATTGTAGGAGTTGCCATGGGGGTGATCCACAAAAGCTTTGCAGGGATGATTAATAAAGCCTGGTATCCTGAAGGGGCAAAACAAGTGGGCTCACCAGCAGTGGTGCTATTTAACATCTTGTTTTGTTTTAAAAATGGAGAAACAGGAGGCTTTTCCAATAGAAAGTCATGATCCTCTGCTCAGTTCCCAGATTTGAGCTAATTTTCGAATCCAGAATTCACTGACTACACAGATAGCCTAGTCTATAGACGGAAGAATTCTGAAACTTTGACCCCAAAAGGGCCTTAACATCATATATTTCAGTAAATACACAGGTTTACACATGAGTACAAACACAGTACAAGGGGAATATGCAATCATTTTGAGTGGTATTGGCCATGAGGTCTGAAGTGGTACAAATATACAGGGATTCAAAATACCATTATGGACCCTTATTATTAGAGTAGGATATTGAAGAGGGGGAGAGCAGGTAACAAATCCTGGCTAAGTTCTGGCTCATAGTGGGCCAACCATGTCTATGAATTTCCCCTATCCTGAAGTGTACAATAAGAATTAATGTATAAGGTAGTTAGAGTAACCACTACATCATGTCCCAGGCCTGTGGGGTAACATTAATCATAGACCAAGTGGCAACCTGGGAAACTGCCCCCATCTGGTTGAGAGAGTAACGATGCTTCATGGTACAGTGAAAATTAGTGCCACCATTAAAAATTACCTAACATATCTCCACTTAATTTGTTTCATTAAAATATACAATTCAGATTTTTCAGATTCACACACACTTGCTTTTCCATTTAACAGAAAAAGTACTTAAAATAATTACCTTTATTTTTGTAATCATATATGATACTCTGTTACATACACTAACATTAATAAGAAAACCTTTATATATATGAATTCTATATATAAAAGGACTGAGATTTAGAGAAACTAGGTAACCTAGTTAAGATAGCACAAAAAACTAAGATTATAAATGATCTCCCTGTGTTCACCACCAGAAATTTCCACAATTTGGAGGTAAAAAACAGACACAGAGTTTGAGAACTGGCCCCCATAGAGCTATGACCGGCTGAAAACCTGACACATTCACTCACCTCTGTTACCCCAATAACTGGATTAGAAACTAGATTAGCAGCATTGAGGGCCCAATTGAAGGGTGTCCATAAATGTTAATCTGTTTAAAACTCTTTTAAAATTTAGTAGTGGCCTTTTAAAAAATAAATAATTAATAAACTTCAAAATAGTCTATGTTTTTTTCTTAACAATGATTTTAAAATTATCTAATTTACATTTCACTGCTAGAAGAAATTTAAATGACAAAAAGCCCATCAAATATATTTGATCTCATACAATGATTAGAATATTTTTATTTCACTTTGTCCGTGATGACAACCTAATAAATAGGATCATCTCTAAGACTGGTACACTTTAATACTAGCTTTCTTTTTCTTAATAAAAGAGCTATTAAACTTAAATATGCACACAAGTTCCAAAGCTTAAAATAAACCCTAAACATTTAAATAATTTACATATACATTCAACTTTGAATTTTTACACATAACTGAACTTTTCCATATAGTTCTACCAACACTATTCTGTGGCAAAAAGTAGCTTTATATTGATGCATTAAATACTGCTCATTCACTTGTAACTTCTAGTGCTTGCTAAAAACACATTGTGTCTTTGTTAATAGCTTTAACATTCATTTTATTCTGGAATATCATATCATGAAACAAATATATGCAAGATGTTTCTTCAAATTCTATTTTTAAGGGACAAACAAAAGTATGAATGTACTTTTCCTCACATACTAGTGATATCTATGTCCATACTATTAAGTTCTGAAAATTAATATTTCTTAACGGACATAAACATGAATATTTTCATATCAAGTGACTAACATGGCAAAGATTTTGATAAGAGAAGTGGATAGGTGAATGAGAAATGTGCAAACTGAAGAAAAAATCTAACAGGCTGTAAATGGAGATGAGAGATTAGACATGTTATGTATGAACCCCTGCAGATGAATTAGAAGAGACATCATGAGGAAACACAATTTAGTTTAATTACAAAGAACAATTAGTTATCTGATAATAAAAAACACTATCTCCAGAGATGGTAGGCTTCTGGTCATTAAAGACACTCAGGTACAAAGTAGATTAAGGGTTGGGTAGATTATGTCCAAAGGCCAAAGTCAGCACACCAGATGCTTTATAATAAAGTTGTACTGGATAATTGTTACTCCCATTCATTTCCAGTCTGGGTGCTTTAGTATTACAACAAGAATGTTTCAAAGACGGAACAGAAACTATACAGACTACAAGTCTTGAAATATTTACTATGTGGTCCTTAACAGAAAATACTTGCAGACTCCTTTGGAGAAGATAATAGGAATAAGTACCATGTGGGAATGTGGAAATAGGGGAAACCTACTTGATATTCAGGAAAACATAGAATATATGTTTTAAGAACTGAGTTGTACATGTTATTTGTGTTATAAATCCTTCCAGCCAAGTTAGTGTGTGGAAGTCAAACTTCATATTGCACTTTATTTTCACAGTTGTGTGTCATGATAGGAGACTACACCTGTCAGAAGGAAGAATGGCATCTGTCTGATTTGCACAAAGGCACCCAAAGGAGCAGCATAAACTGCAAACATCTATAGCAGTTTTTACAAACTAGTCTCTAAGGCCCACAGTACAAATACTCTATTGCTAAAACTCAGCTTCTTTTCAGTGTTTCATTTGTATACCATGGAAAAGAAAATAAGTGTCTTTCAAAAACAGTTTTCATGTTATGAGAAATTATTGCAAATACTAACATCTCTTGCAGAAACACACGCAAACTGGCATACTAAAAACTTTGAGAAGTTCAGTTGGAAACACTATTTACCAAGAGCGGACATAGCATTTTGCAAAGTTGTTTAATTATGGAACCCTTTTTAATGAACCTACCATTAATTTTGCATACAATTAATGATCTGAGGAATGATATTCTATTCAAAGTCATTTGTACTACTATAGGATTAGGAACTCATTCATGACAGAAACTGCACATGTTTTCTCATTCACTACAGAACTTAGCACACTGCTAAGCAAATATGATAATTACCTAAGAAAGAATTGAATTGATTTAATTCTAGAAGATGTAACAAATCCATGAAGTGCAAGTACTGTTAGTTTCACTAAGTAAAGCAGGCTTTAATTGTTTATGTGACAGGCATACACAAAGTTATCCTCCTCATATTGAATTCATTAGCTTTTAAGTAATACAACAGTAAAATATCCTTGCATAGGTATATTGCAAGTAGGTTCCCTCTGCTCTGTGTTATGCATTTAATCATACAAATATATGTATTCAAGAAATAGCAAATATTTAAGGTTAAATAATTGATAATCTAACAGATTGACAGAATATATATGCATATTCATATATATATATATATATATATACACATTCAAAAATTAAAGTCAGCAAAAACAAATTACCTAAAGAAGGTGACAAAAAACTGCACAAGATCCATGATTGTATTATGTTGTGAGAATGCAATCTGAAAAATAAAAATAAAAGAAAGTTTCAAACTTACTGAACCTAATTTCTTCTCCAACACCTGTGGCAACGTTTCATGGCAGATACAAATACAATATTTCTAAATCATCAAGACATTGAGAATCATAAAATTATAAATCAAATGCTTGCTGGCATTAAAACTTTACCTGGAATACTAAATATATTCAACTATTAACAATGGTTTTGCACAGGCTGTGACATTAAGTGGTTAAAAAACTATTATAAAATTATTTCAAGAGTGTGAGCCAAGAGTTCCATGTGAAATAGTATGACATATTAAAAGTGCCTAACACATGCAATTGAGTTTGTTTAATTCTGATCACGTTATCAGTTAATGCAACTGACAATTTCTTGTAATAAAACAAAGCAAAAATTCAACTCTACTATAAGAAATTTAGGAGATTTTTTCTATTTATATTCTTATCCTTATCCAAATATTTTGTACACACCACCAAAGAATAAAATGTATCACTGCATTCTAGAATTTCATGTTAAAAGAAATCAAATGTAGCAAACTAGCAAATAAGCTAAAGTTGTTCTCTATTTCAGTTAATATTATAGATTATATTATAGATTAATATTAATATAATATAGATTAATATTATAGTAACAACTTTTTTGAGGAAGTAGATAGCATATTAGGCAATAATGCAGCATTTGAATAGACAACTAACTTTGAAAGATAGCTTACTTACTAGTCATGTATATTTTAGAAAACTATATACCCTACTTATATCTCAGTTTTCCTATCTGCGAATGGTAATGATGAAAGCATTTACCTAGTAATGTTAGAGGAAAAACAATTAATTAGAATGAATAGAAAATTGCTACTCATTTAATATCTGACATGTAATAGGTATAATGTAATAAATATTATGAAACTTTTTATGCCATGTATAAATGAAATGGTGAGTTTTCCCACACAGCTGAAGCTAAACCATTAAGGTATTGCTCTCTTTTTCTTCTAATACTTTATGAAAAATCTTTCAAAAACGTAATGGAATTTCCTCTTCCAGCTTTTAAAAACAAACAAACAAAACCTGAATAAAATGTATATAAAACAACCAATTTCAGACACTGGACAAGTGGGAAAGAAAGACTACAATCCCTAAATCATCAAACCCCTAAGAAAAAAACAAAGATGAGCCTCAGAACTTTTCCAGATTTGAGTGGAAGGAAATAATACCATGGAATTTAAATGGTATACTGAAATAAGCACCACAAACATGGTGCTAGGGATTGAGCCCAGGGCTGTGAGCATGCTAGGTAAGGGCTCTACCACTAAGCTACATGCTCAGCCCTTTTTTGTTACATAATATAAAGAAGCACAGTTAGTTAAGAAGATGGTTAAATTTTTGGTATATACACTGAGGCCTAAATACATTCATTTCCAACAATCTTAGAAACAAATGAAGAATTATAACACTTGTACAGAGACTAAAGAAACAAAATTAGTACAGTCTAGTTGTAAGTGAAACTATTTTAAAAGATTAAACAACAACAAAAAAGTTTTTACAATGAAAAAGATACAATTTCTTTCCAAGTGATCAACTATAAGAATGTGGTAGCAATGTAGTTTTCAAAGAAAATGATCTTCAATAAATTAAATCCATTATAAGAAAATTCTAGATATAGCAATTAAGAACTACCTGGATAATCTTTAAAAAGTTAATTTTTAATATTATAGTAAAGAAAATTAGCTTACATTAAATTGTAACAGAAAGGTAATGGTAGACAATGTTAAGAAATATCTAAATGAAAAAGGAGCTTAAACAAAGTCTTGAATAAAACAAAGAACATTTAGAAAGCTAGACAACAGACTACAGTTGTTTTAGGGACTATATTTTCAAATTCAAATAAATTAAAACTATAATTTCAAATATGACAAAAACAAGCTTAATTATTGAAAAATACAATCCAGAAAATCCAGAAGGCATTGCTGGTATAGTCTTATATCTCTGATTTCACACAATATAGAGCAACTATATTACAAAATTTAAAAAGTAGACAATTTCAACAAAATTAAGTGACATACTGTTCCCTTAAATGCCAAAACAGAAAAAAGTATTAACAAACCACAAGCATAAGTGTGGCACCAGAGTCTATGCAGGAGGAAGAAGAGAGAATGAACAGTAACATATGAAATTTCCAAACAGTATTCATTGGAATCACATAGGTCAAATTGAAGTAACAGTTAAAACAGAAGTGGTCTGCCTAATCTAAGAGCAGTTTAGTGTTAGGGATTCTTGGGAAGTTCTAAAACAGGCAGGAACAAACTGAATCATGAATTTTCAAAACCAACTAATCAAATATCCATTGAGGACATGCCTCATTTTGAAGAGAAACTGCTAGACATGAAAATTGAAATCAAGCAGAGAAGATAAACAGAGAGTAAAGAAAGAATATCTGGCTAAAGCAGGGAAAGAAATATGGCCAGGAAACCTTAAAGGAGCAAGCAGCACATTTTAAGGAGAAAAAAATACATGCCTGGAGGCAGTCCGGGGGGCGGGGGAAGGTGGCCCAAATAATGTATACAAATGTAAACAAATGTAAAAACGATAAAATTCAGAAAAAAAAAACCACATTCATCGAATACACATATACACACACCACATTTGTGCGCACGCGCACACACACACACAGTGGTCTTGCTGCTAATTCCTTTGTCCACTACCAATTTAACTTATTTTATCACTCTCAAATATTTTTCATTTTTAAAGTCTAAGGGATCTGGCATTCCTTTAACTTTATAGGAATAAATTTAGATGGTCAAAACACATGACTCAAACTGGTCCAAATGCCCTTCGTAGGGCCATATAACTAAAAAGATCAGGGCAAAAATCATGGGTCTGGTATGCACACAAATCAAAGATACATATGAAAATATCTATAATTTTCTGAATTTTCCCAAGAAATATTTGAATTAAAAAAGTAATTAGGGGAGGTCCTACAAGTTATAGTCATGTTGTAAAGCACTGAAAGTTCAATTAATTATATTATCTATCTGTACCTATTCAAAATAAGATAAAGAAAATTTAATTATTTTCATGAAGTATGAATGTTACTTTGATTTCAGATTACATTTTGAGGTTAAACTGAGATACCACAATGAGGGGACTGAAAAAACAATTATACCTCCAAAAATTAACACTATTTTCTAAATTGTCAAAAATGATAGTTGGAGTTTCTCACAAATTCAGTTGCAGTGTAATATCTGAACATTAAAGTACTGATTGAAGACCCTGACCAACTTTTCTTAAAGATAATACCTTTCACAATAAGGAATATGATAAAAGGATAAGTTGATGGGAATTCTGTCAAAAATGGCAACTGAATTACAAACTATTTTACAAGCTGAAACAAAGACCACTCCAAAGAAATTGATCTATTAACACAATGCCACTTAAAAGGAAATGTAGCCTCAGATACTTAAGCATACCAGCTGGGTGCTACAGCCTCAGGGTGAACAACATTCCATATTGGCTGTTCAGCAGGAGAGTAGCATTATAGCATGTTGCACTAATCTTTCAAATATTTTATTTATTCGAGACATTCTATATGTTATTCCATAGGTGATGGGCTATAGAAAACAATGTCTCAGACAGTCCACTGTCAGACAAAGATTGGATTGATTCTGGAAATTGATGGCAAATTCAAGGATGATTTGGCAGCATAAGCAAAGCCAAGTAGACATTATATTAGTTCCCTCTTGCTATGATTTGAAAGTATCCCTCAAGGTTCATGTGTCATAAAATATAATCCAAAACTCATATATTGGTAGTATTTGGAGGTGGAGCCTTTGGGAGGCAGTTAGTGTTCTAGGAAGTTCTAGATTCCTGGTGATTGTATTAGTTTACAAGTAGAGGGAAAGACCTGAGCTCACAAGCTCCCTTCTTTTTGCTACATGATGCCTTCCATCATGTTATAACACAGCAAGAAGGCCCTTATAAGATGCCAACACTATAATATTGGATTTCCTAGTCTCTAAAATTATAACATATAAATTTCTTTATAAATTTCACAGTCCATGACATTCATTCTGTCATACCAACAGGAAACAGGTTAAGTCAATTCTCAAGATTCCCTCTTACAGACTGCCAAGTTATTCACCCATGATGTATTTCACTAAGCATCTACTATATTCTGAGCTTTGCAGCAGGTGCAATAGAAAAGTTCTTAGTTGGGGCAGACAATAATAACAAATTATATAGTGGAACTTGATAACTGCTAAAAGAATAAAGGAGAAAGAGTCTACCTTCTATTATTAGTATGAGTGGAAAAGAAATCATTCCTTGTTGTCTAAAAATATACAGACGTGCTGAGATTAGATAGTACAAAAAGGTAGTGGTGGCATGTATTCTGAATGTTCTCAATTTTTCTCCATCTATAATAGCATATAGCAACTTCATGGCCCTTCCAGGGAAATGGGAAGGCTTATAAGGTAAGGAATACACACAGATAAAGGGACGACCTTTCTAAGTGATGCTGGGCAACTGGTTTTAACCTGGCTGGCTCCTTATCATCTAGTTCTCTAGTCAAATAGCACCCTTCATAAAGACACTGATCTAAAGTAGTGCCCTTCTATACTACCATGTGAGATGTGTTTTATACTAAATTATGAAATTATACTATTGGCTAGTCATGGTACCATCTTCCTTACTACAATGTAGGTTCCTTGAGAATAGTGACCCTTTTCAGGCTGTTCATGCCCCTGGCCAAGAACCTACAACAGTATTTGGTACAAAATACAAAAAAAGCATTTTTTAAATTTTTGCTGAATAAATTAATCATGTATTCATTTTTGCTATATTTATTCATAACAAAATTTAGCACAAGAATATTCTTAGAACTTCATATATCCTTATTAATGTGTTTAATAATAACCATGAAAGGAATAAGGTACAGACATTGTGAGAAACACATCAAATTTATTTATATATATATATCTGAAAGTCTCATAGAAGTGAACAATTTCTATAG